GTCCGTCTCTCTGTCTGTCCATCTGTCGGTCTGTCTGTCTGTCTGTCTACTCATCGGTCCATGTGTCCGTCCGTCCGTCCGTCCGTCCGTCCGTCCGTCCGTCCGTCCGTCTGTCCGTCCGTCCGTCCGTCCGTCCGTCTGTCTGTGTGTCCGTCCGTTTGTCCGTCTGTCCGTCTGTCCGTCTGTCCGTCCGTCCGTCTGTCCATCCATCCGTCTGTCTGTCTGTCCGTCTAACCATCTGTCTGTCTGTCTCTCTACTCATCAGTCCATGTGTCCGTCCGTCCGTCTGTCCGTCCGTTCGTCTGTCTGTCTGTCTGTCCGTCTCTCTGTCTGTCCATCTGTCGGTCTGTCTGTCTGTCTACTCATCGGTCCATGTGTCCGTCCGTCCGTCTGTCTGTCTGTCCGCCTCTCTGTCTGTCTGTCTTCTGTCTGCCCATCTGTCCATGTGTCTGTCTGTCTGTCCGTCCGTCCGTCTGTCCATCCATCTGTCTGTCTACTCATCGGTCCATGTGTCTGTCTGTCCATCCGTCCGTCTGTCTGTCTGTCCGTCTATCCATCTGTCTGTCTGTCTGTCTCTCTACTCATCAGTCCATGTGTCTGTCTGTCTGTCCACCTGTCCGTCCGTCTGTCCGTCCATCTGTCTGTCTGTCCGTCTCTCTGTCTGTCCGTCTATCCATCTGTCTGTCTGTCTCTCTACTCATCGGTCCATGTGTCTGTCTGTCTGTCTGTCCATCTGTCTGTCCGTCTGTCCATCTATCCATCTGTCTGTCTGTCTGTCTACTCATCGGTCCATGTGTCTGTCCGTCCGTCTGTCCGTCTGTCCATCTGTCTGTCCGTCCGTCTATCCATCTCTGTCTCTCTACTCATCGGTCCATGTGTCCGTCTGTCCATCCGTCGGTCCATCTGTCCGTCCATCTGTCCGTCTGTCCGTCCATCCGTTCGTCCGTCCGTCCGTCTGTCCGTCTCTCTGTCTGTTCATCTGTCCGTCTGTCTGTCTGCCCATCTGTCCATGTGTCTGTCTCTCTGTCTGTCCGTCTGTTCTCTCTGTCTGTCCGTCTATCCATCTGTCTGTCTGTCTGTCTACTCATCAGTCCATGTGTCCGTCTGTCCACCTTTCTGTCCTTCTGTCTGTCTTCTGTCTGCCCATCTGTCCATGTGTCTGTCCGTCCGTCTGTCTGTCCGTCTGTCCGTCAGTCTGTCCGTCCGTCTGTTGGTATGTCTGTCTGTTCATCCATCTATCTGTCTGCCAGTCAGTGTGTCTGTCTGTCCACCTGCCCAGCCACATTTTTCTCTGTCTGTCCATGTGTCTGTCCGTCCATCCGTCCGTCCGTCTGTCTGTCCATCCATCCATCAGTCTGCCAGACAGTGTGTCTGTCCATCTGCCCAGCCACGTTCGTCTCTGTCTGTCTGTCTGCCCACCTGTCCATGTGTCTGTCCGTCCGTCCGTCAGTCTGTCTTTCTGTCTGTGTGTCTGTCTGCCCATCTGTCCATTTGCCTGTCTGTCTGTCCATCCATCTGTTGGTCTATCTGTCTGTCTGTCCGTCCATCTGTCTGTCTACCCATCTGTCCATATGTCTGTCTGTCCATCCAGCTGCCGATCTGTCTGTCCATCAGTCCGTCCATCTGCAGTCTGTCTGCCTGCCCATCTGTCCATCTGTTGGTCTGTCCATCTGTCTGTCTGCCTGTCCGTGTGTCCGTCCATCCGTCCGTCTGCGTGTCATCGGCCGGTGTCGCCCATGGCTGGCTGTCTCTGTGTTCCGTCCGTCTGTCTGTCCATGTGTCTATCTGTCCGTCTTTCTGTCTGTCCATCCATCTGTTGGTCTGTTTGTCTGTCCATCTGTCTGTCTGCCTGCCCATCTGTCCATCTGTTGGTCTGTCTGTCCATCTGTCCATGTGTCTATCTGTCCGTCTCTCTGTCTGTCCGTCTGTCTGTCTGCCTGCCCATCTGTCCATCTGTTGGTCTGTCTGTCTGTCTGTCTGTCTGTCTGCCTGTCCGTGTGTCCGTCCATCCGTCCGTCTGCGTGTCATCGGCCGGTGTCGCCCGTAGCTGGCTGTCTCTGTGTTCCGTCCGTCCGTCCGTC